TCATTACAACCTGACAGTCATAATGGATCGATGAGAGTTGGACCTGCGATCAACGCCGGTCCTCGTTGTCCGTCGCCGAGATGATCCTCTTTTTAACGTAGTCCATTGCTTTATTGGCATCCAGGAAATCCTTACTTTCCTCCCCATGAGAGATGCGGARCCGTGCAGGAAAAAGCAGGCCGTAGYGAACATCWCGTCGGTTGCGAAGAAGCCTCCTCACCTCCGTAAACGCCTCCCGAGCCTTGGYCACAGCYGCCGTGTARTCAGATGTGAYGATGACCGGTGTCTCTTTAAAACGAAGAGGACCACGACTCCGMGCCCGACGCAGTATTTCCACACATTCTTGATAATAGTGCAGCTTAGCAACAATGACCTGCGGCTTATCRCCTGACCTGTTTCCACCTGGAGAGCGATGGGCTCGGTCCACCAGTGGCTCTTTATCCATCTGTAGAACCTCTGCTGGCAGTTTAGCCACTGCTGAAGTGGAGCTGGATTCTGGCGTYTCAGGAACTCCAATAATCCGCACATTGCACCTTCTCATGCCCCCCTCCATATCRTYACACTTCTTTTTGAGCCCAWCGACTTCTTCTTTCAATTCCAACACGGTGGTGCATAGAGAAACTACCTCATCGGACCAGGTCGACAAGCCGTCCTCAACCTTTTTTATGCTCTGCTCAAGGTGGTCCAGATCTGCGCGCAGTCACATCGTGCTGTTAGCCACTTCCGCTCTCACCRCTTGWAGCTCTCCTTTAATAAGAGTAAACTCTTCAGCCAAAGCTGCTTTTATTTCGGATTTGATCACAGCTGAGAGATCGGTTTTTATAGCGGCAAGAACGTCAGACTTCAAGGAGAGTGCATCCGCCTCRCTGCGGGAGGGAGAAGGAGGCGCCGAAAGTCCGGCTTTAGCTGYAGCCTGCTYCGAGGCRGCGTCGGGCCTAACAGCCGCAGAGCTAGAATGTTTGCCTTTCCTCTTTGTCGCCATTCTTCTACTCTTCCAAGCAAGAACCACTCAGGGGTCGAATCCAGACAGACCAAATGCTCAAAACAGCAAGGACATTTAGTAGAGAACCATAAACAGAACAAGTCGGAGCGGGAGCCCACGCGACACTCGTCTTACTCCTCCGCCATCTTGCCCCGCCTCCCCACTTACTTTATATTAAATTCATTATTTTTATGACATTAGAAATCATTTCTGATCACGCAGGGATCAAACAAACGTGTCCTCCACACATACAGGAAGTAATTAGCATCTGTTTAACATATGTTAATGAAGGCGTGTCAGGGGAGGTGTCTTACCTGCGCTCAGTTCCACGTTAACTGTGATGTACAAAAGAAATGTGTGTGGATTCAGGCGTACGCACAGTTTGATACATCTGGATTTTTTTGTGCGTACGCCATTTTCTGGATTTGACCATACGTCAGGTTTCAGTAAGAAATCCTCGCAAGTCTTTGTACATGAGGCCCCTGGTCTTTACCCTTGCAGAGTTGTTAAGGGGGTCGTGGGTGTTTTCCTCTCTGGTCTACATGAGTTTTGTAGACCAGTCATGGAGCAAGGAGTGAGGGGAAGAAGGCAGAAGTCTTTATCCTGGCTAGGCTAAGGGCTAGCCACGCTGGGTCCATTTTAGGCTTATAAAACCACTTTGTGTTTATGTGCTGAGCATAGACATTTAACTAATGTAGTGAGACTGTGATGAAGTGATTCAACGTAATCTACTGGCTTCCTTATTTTCTTTGGTGTTGTTTTTTTTTGTTTGTTTGTTTGTTTGTTTTTGTTTTTTGTTGTTCTTTTTATGTACAGTGCCCTGAGACAACGTTTGTTGTGACTTGGTGCTATATAAATAAATTGAATTGAAAYTGAATTGAAGCAATGATTTACCTGCCTATCCCTTTAAGTAGCACTACATTATCCAAACTTTCTCCCTATGTTAGCTTGGCATGCAAACACAAAATAACACAATTTAAAATTTTTAATAATTACATATCTAAAAATGGAGGCAAAAACATTTTTTGTGAAGTTGCAACAATCGTTTTTTAAATTAAAGCATCGATCTGTTTTACCCATTGTGTTACGCGTTAAAGAAGGTATGAGTTTAACTAGTGACAACTGTCAGTGTCATATTTTTTTTAAAGTTTTTTTTATAAAGGACTTTTGATTCTAACCCTCTGGTCCTCCACAGCTACATGCCTGTTGGTATCCTGTTTCTGATTGCTGCAAAGATCATTGAAGTGGAAGACTGGGAGATCTTCAAGAAGATGGGGCTTTATATGGTGACTGTGCTGAGTGGGTAAGCTGTTCGTGTATTCCCCAGGATTTATGGCTGACATTTGGGTCCGTTCTCCCTGCAGTCATACAGTAAAAGCTGAGCTCTTGGTGGACACTGATAAGAGCCAAGGCCATTTAAAACTGCTCAAGCTGCACATGTAGTAATGAAGGCTAAATCTCAGTGACACCACTAAAAACTGAGCTGTAAGTCCTCTCTTGTTAGGGTGAAAGGTGGATTTTAAGGTTCCTAACAGGTTGTGTGACACTTTAGGCTCACAGTGGTCACACTTTCTACAAATGTTCTTCAAAACAATCAGAGTAAAATAACTTTCAGATGTCAAACTTATGAAGGTTCCTGACAGAWACTGTGATTTTGTTGTATTTTGTTGTAAAAGGGAAGCAATGTAATTATAATGTAATGTATATCAGTTTCAGGCACTCTCAGTTCAATATCTGATCCCATCAATGGATTTTCATTGTATCAGCTGCAGCACAATACAACATATACACAACAGAGCTTATTCTAGAAATGAAAGAAGCCAGTGTTTTTTCTGCTGTTTGGCAGTAAAATATTTTGACTGAAGAGGCAGTTAAAGACCAAAATACATAAACAGCATTGTGGAAAAGCAATAATGCAACCTAAGTTTACAAAGAAAAAAAGTAAATCTCAGTTTAGAACTTGTTCTGATGTCTTCCTACAGCCTACATTCTGTAATACACCTTACAAATTTAAAGCAGACAAATCTAATAAAATTTAGCTGACATGTGGGTACTTCAGTAGTGTTCTTCCAGCTGATGTTTCCCATTGCACTCTACTTTTTCTTTCATGTGGAAAACTATGAAGATATTTGTTTTTTTTTTCTTTTTTGTGTGTGTACAGTATCTGTGTGAATAATGTGACCAAAATTGAYGTAATTCGAAGGCAAAATAAAACACACTAGATTAGCCAAAAACAACTAACATAGCCTTGACTTCTTATGTTTTGTTTATAGCCTGGAGTGGACTATATCCTTTGGCTTGGCATGCAATGCTCAGGTGAAAAAATAATAAAGATAGACAATTTTTGAAGTACTYATGAGTTTTATGTATCATGAACAACAACTTTTAGACTAATAAGAAAACAACATATTTACAACAAAGTGTGTCTGGTTCAAGACACCTTAAAACCCAGAGAAACAGAGAAGAGACACAAATGGATACAACACCAAGGTTAAGTGTTAATTGTGCAAGGGGAGACAGCCTAAATGTAACTCAGTGGCTTCCAAAGGTTTCAAAACCTCCTTGCAACAAAAGTGGATGGTTACAAGTTTCACATCTTTCTGTGGCATGAGCAATCATGTGATTTATCAGTTGTCTGCATCTCAAAGATGTTCACTCAAAGTAACATTTTTGTTAACACAACTGACTTCTCTAAAACACTCTGAAAAGCAAAAAACTGTTTTTCTCTGTCAGACCAAACATATTCAAGAATACTTAAAGAAGTAAGATCAAAACAAAGTATCATGATAAATGTAAAAGAAAAGGATAAAAAAATGATAACTTGTAAACATTTTTCCATCAATGTGCAACCAAGGGCGTAACTTYAGTGGGGATTATGCTCTAAAACCCCTGCATTTCATTTTCAGCAATTATGCTTATTAGACATACATACATRGCATTGTATATTTTTTAAAATTAGGTCAGAGTTACCTAAACAAGAGAGTTGCAACTGTGTACTTAACCAGCAGTGTTGTATAAAGCAGTGGTTCCCAAACTTTTTTATCTTCTGACCCTAAAAATATCCATGGCAAAAACTTGTGACCCCAAATATTACTGGTCTGAATACATGAACTTCGTTAATAACCCTAAAAACACAGGCTTTTTGACAAGCTAAACAGCTTGCACACAAATATAAATACTTATTCATACTTTTTTGTGTTTTTGTAATAGTTATAGGGAAAATATTACATCAGCATGTCCTGATGCATCTCTGTAATCCAGGTAAAACATCAAAAAGAAAAAAATTGTGAAGGTCTTCTGGACGGGTTCTTCTATAATGAAACGTTTTGTCTCTCCTCCAAGAGACTTCTTCAGTCTGAGAGTTTCAGGCAAAATTCAGGCTTTTAAGCCCAGCCTCTGTGTGACTGATACTCACATCAAATGGCTATCGTTGACACCTAATTAA